GGTCTTTGTCCTCTCATAAGATTGCACAAACCCAAGGGAACCTGGGTCTGTCCTGGGGCCTCATTCCAGTGGGATGTGCTAGAAATGCCTGAGCTGATTCTTTTAGTCATGGAGTAGTGGGTCTGAGCCCCCCACTGATGGGTAAACCCATCAGACTCTGTCCAAAGTTTGTCTTCATCTAAAACTTGTAAAAAGCAGGGTGTGGAGGAAGAGCTGTAAAGGTGGTGTGACCTTGGTTGATTAGCACTTAAATGTGATTTGATCACATTTCACTGTGTGAAATGTGAAGCTGTACCAGTGTTGGCCTGTTGCTGTCAAGTTACTGTCAATTCCTCAGATTCTCATTGTGCCTGACTGCAAAGCCATATATCACACAACTGGAAAATCATCTTGCACTTCAAATAAATACTTGATACAATGCCTTACGGTCACTGCTTCAGCTGTCAGTTTAAGACTTTAAAATTACTTGTACTTTTGAATAATTGTCTTTATAGATGTATACCTGGCAGTCCCTTTATAATTCATTGGTGACATCAAAGTGGTCCCACAAATCTAAAGGAATCTGGCTTTTATCACTGTAGCCTCCCCTTTTCCCCCAGTGGTTGATGTTGGTTTCATAAAACAAATTTAAAACCTTCCCCTCTTTGGGCCTGTCATTAACATGCCTTAATTTGTTTTGTTTAATTTTTTTTTTCCAAGTCATCTTCAGAGCTTCCTGACATACACCCATCTTGATAATCAGGTTAAAAGTATAAACACCCATCAGTAAATGACCTAAAGCTATGTGCTGTTAACATCCCAATCCCCTATAAATTAGAAGTTTTCAGTGAGCTTGATCCATTTACAACATTGTAGGAGCCATATGAGGGGTTTTTTTTTTTTTTTTTTTTTGATTAAGAGGGTTGGTTAAAATGCACACATTGTATTGGTGCACGGGTGTGGTGGAATAAGAATGCTTTGGTGCTTGACTTGGAGATGTTGGTATATGCTACTGCAGGACTAATTTTAATGAGCGGTCATGACCAGCTATCACCCTCATTTGCCACTGCAACGGCCTACACGTTTTGCTGCTAAATGGCAGGCAGCAGTACAGAGGGCAGTACTGCTGACAGATTGGGGGTTTATGCAGCTTAAACTGGAAGGATGCCTCTAGTATGACATGTCTAAAGCTTGTTGACTGTCTGAACTCTTCCATGCGCCATCTGATCTGTCAGAATCAACTTTTAATCTAAACTGTCACTGGTATGAGGTTCTCCTAAAAAGTACAAAGGTTTTGAGACTTAAGCAGACACTTGGCTTTTAACGTGCTGGCTTGTATTCTTGTAAATTGCACCTCAGTAAGTAAATCATCCAATGTAACTTGTGTTGACAGGATGTTGGTGAGGTGACGATATACCTGGCTGAAGTGCAGAGTATTGTTCAC